ATAATATAAATATTTGATAGATAATAATATATTTTATAGATGATATAAAAGAATAGTTTGAACTTGGTAAGTGATTATATACATTTTTTATTTACATTATTTATTCTATATAACAATATAGTAATGTAAAAAAGCAAATAATAAATACATGCATAAATTTTATTAAGAGAGAATTATTCAAAATAAGAGCAACATAATTCTATTAATTTATTTAATATTATTTGTTATGCACAGCGCGTATGTGCGACAGCGCGTATGTGCGTCAGCGCGAGAGCTCGTCTCTTCTCACGCTGTATTTGCGATTACGTGGGAGGCAAGAACACTCGCGTATTTTAAACTAAATTAAATTTATTGTCTTGTTACAATTGCTCAACGTACAAAAGAAAGGTATGTCGATCCGCTCTAACAATCACTCACACGGATAAATCACGCTATTGTGTGACTTCTGTCACGATCGCACGGAGAAAGCCCAGTGACGCACGCCAATTCCCGCGACTTCCGATTCGGTTCCCGAAGATGTCCGACCTTTGTTATGATCAACATTCCTGAGTCGCCGATCAACAGTCTACAGCTATGTGTGGAATGCGATCCCCAGTTGACGCTTTTTCCTTATATTATTGTTTATTGATACGCACGCATAACACACTCTCCCCGTTGAGAGTGCAACGATCAAGCCGTGTTCTTATTTAAGGTACAATGATCGAACACATGGCGCGGTTACGCGCTTGTTAACGCTTGGTGGATCCATGACTACTACAAGTAGTCTCGTATGTCGTGACGACGCTTAGGATGGCCCGTGAGTCGCATTCGTATTCTTGCGTCAACGCCTAGCGGGCCCCTGAGTCACGTTACGCATTTCTCCCTTTTTTCAAGCATTATTGACTGATTCGATCGGGAGAGGGCAGAGAAGCCTGGTTGGTCTCTTTATTTCTCCGTCCTTTGTTCTGACAGTAGCGACTCTAGATATTCCGTCGTCGCCTGGGAATAATGCGATGACTTTGCCTAGCGCCCATTGCGTACAAGGTAACCCTTTATTTTTTAGGAGCACCGTTGTTCCGGGCTCAAGTTTAGGTCCAGCCTTGTCCCACTTGCTCCGCTTTTGCAGCTCGCTTAAGTATTCTAGATGTCAACGGGCCCAAAAATCTTGTCTGACTTTCGTGATGTGCTGCCATACGGAGAGTCGCACAGTGGCGCGCCAGGTGATTTTTTTCTTCAAAAACGATTTCCTCTACAACGGCTCGACCGATTTAGATAAAACAAATACGAGCTTAAAGAGGACAAAATTTCCAAAAAAACTATGCAGGCCGATTTTTAAATTTTTTCGCCATATTTAATTATTATTTAAACAAAAGAATGGAATATTTCGTGGAACCATTAAACTATTGAAACATATCATTTTCTTTACATGTAAAACAGATTAAATTTTCTACTCGGGGGTTTTCGAGGTATTAAAGGGATTTTCGAGGAATTTGGTATTAAACGAGATTCTGAGCTTTTGCAGCCGTGAACTATGAAATTTTAACATTTATGTCCACCATATAGAATCAGTCGTTTTTTAATTTAAAAATCTAAGATCAGATTCGTAATCAGTGACCCCGAAAACCCCCGAGTGCCCAGTTTCATCTCGATCAACTAACTTTTTACATTTCGGTCGGCCATTTTGGATCCGCCATTTTGAATTATGAAAATATAAGATCGGATTCGTAATCAGTGACCTCGAAAACCCCCGAGTAGAAAATTTAATCTGTTTTACATGTAAAGAAAATGATATGTTTCAATAGTTTAATGGTTCCACGAAATATTCCATTCTTTTGTTTAAATAATAATTAAATATGGCGAAAAAATTTAAAAATCGGCCTGCATAGTTTTTTTGGAAATTTTGTCCTCTTTAAGCTCGTATTTGTTTTATCTAAATCGGTCGAGCCGTTGTTGAGGAAATCGTTTTTGAAGAAAAAAATCACCTGGCGCGCCACTGTGCGCCGGTTGGCTGGAACAGAAGAAAGGTTGCCCTCTGGGAGGGCTGTTATAGGTTTGCCAATGAGATAGTGGGCAGGCGTTAAAGCCTGTGGATCGTTTGGATCGGATGAGAGTGCCGTAATTAGCCTAGAGTTTAGAATGCCCTCGACTTCGGCTATAAACGTATTGAGCTCCTCAAACGTGAACAAGAAGTCTCCTACGACGCGTCTCATGTGATGCTTGAACAGCTTCACAGTCGACTCCCATAAACCGCCGAAATGTGGAGCGGCCGGGGGAATAAAATGCCATCGGACGCGGTGCTCGCTTGTGAATTTGTATATAATGTCCTGATGCTGCTGAGAGTTGAATACGAGGTTGAATAAGGAGTACATTTCCTTTAACTGATTATGCGCACCTACGAAATTGGTTCCGTTATTGGAATAGACGTGTTCGGGTAACCCTCGTCTCGATATAAATCTTCGTAGCGCGGCAAGGAACCCTTCAGATGTTAAGTCGCTTACCAATTCGAGGTGAACGGCCTTCACGCACATGCATATGAACACGCATACGTATGTTTTGATTTTTGTACGATTACGGTGCTTTTTCTCCTTGATGAGAAAGGGTCCGCAAAAATCTACTCCAACATGGGCGAACGGCCTTGCCTCCTGAACACGCATTGAAGGAAGATCGCCCATTTTGTACTTGACTGAAACGGCCTTAAAGCGAAAGTAGCGAACGCATGTCACTAATATGTATATATGAATAGCGAACGCCCTATACCAGCAATGCTAAATTTTTGTGCGGAATAGAAGGGCCGCCATGTTGACTCAGGTGTGTCATTTGAGAAGTGGGGGGAGTGGGGAATGAAGGATAGCGATTCCGCGGGAGCTTTGAAATCAGTATAAACATAACATTATCGCTTGGTGATGAATAACGTCGATGATTGCATAAAATGATAATGCAATAAAATGTAAATGTTTGTAAATATCCCGGTAAACGAAAAAGAATTAAAGAGAATTGAAATTTGTAATTCTTTCAATATCATTTTTGAACACCTAAGAAGAATATTGAAATGCATTAAAAGTAATTGAAAACGAAAAGTAGGAATTGAATGAATTGACAAGAATTCAGAATGTTGAAATGTATTCATTTAATTAATGCCATTCCATAACCTATTTATTTACATTTATGCATGTTATGTACTTT